TGATAAGTTAAAGCAAATATAAACTGTTTAAACACATGATTCAGCCTATTCAGTTGAATGATGTGAGTTGTAATTGTGTTTTTATTTATGACTTATTGTCCAGATATGGCAACTTCCAGCTGTCTGCTGTCAGAGGACAAGTTCCTTTGTTCTGTCTGTCTGGATGTGTTCACTGAGCCAGTCTCAACGCCATGTGGACACAACTTCTGCAGTGCATGTATCTATAAGTATTGGGACAGCAGGGACATTTGCCAGTGTCCATTATGCAAAACAACATTTTCTCCAAGACCTCAACTCCAAGTCAACACTTTTGTGTCTGAGTTACTCGCTGAGTTTAAGTCGTCAGCTCAAGTTAAAGCCTCAACTCCAGACCCACAACTTCCTGGAACAGCAGACGTTCTTTGTGATATCTGCTCTGATTTAAAGGAAAAGGCCGTCAAATCTTGCCTGACGTGTCTTGCGTCTTTCTGTGAAGTTCACCTTGAGCCTCATCACAGAGTTCCTACTTTTAAGAGCCACACATTATTAGACCCTGTGAAGAATCTTGATGACAAAATGTGCAAGACACACAACAAGATAACAGAACTGTATTGCAGGACTGACCAGGCCTGTATTTGTGTCTTGTGCATCAAAACTGATCACAGGAGTCACAGTGTTGTCCCACTTGAGGAAGAATATGAAGCAGTGATGGCAAAGAAAGATGAGACCATGGCAAATATCCAAAAGATGATAGAGTCACGGTGTGAGAAGATAGCTGAGATTGAAGAGTCACTTGAAGTCAGCCAGAGAGAAGCTGAGAAAGAGAAAGAAGCCAGTGTGCAGGTCTTCACTGACCTGATCCGCTCCATCCAGAGAAGCCAGGCCGAGCTGGTTGAGCTGATTGAGGAGAGGTACAGAGCAACAAAGCAAAAGGCCGAAGGTTTCCTCACAGAACTGAGGATGGAAGTCGCTGAGCTCCAGAGCAGAAGCAGCCAGCTGGAGCAGCTGTCACAGTCTGAGGATCACCATCATTTTCTCCAGAGCTTCTCAACCCTGTGCTCTCCTTCAAACAAGGACTGGACCAACGTCAGTGTTCACAGCCATCTGTCTTTGGAGGCAGTGAGAGGGGCTGTGAGTCTGCTGAAACAAAGACTTGATGAAATAATGGAGGAGGATCCTGAGATCAAAATGAACAGAATGAGAGAACATGCAGTGGACTTGACCTTTGACCCTGACACAGCATATTGCTCACTTGTTATCAGCCAGGATGGAAAACAAGTGACAAATGTAGGCAGAAAACAGAAACTTCCCTACAGTCCAAAGAGGTTTGAAGTGTGTGCAGAGGTTTTGGCAAAGGAGGGGTTCACATCAGGGAAGTTTTACTATGAAGTGCAAGTGACAGGAAAGACTAACTGGTATCTCGGAGTGGTCAGAGAGTCTGTTGAGAGAAAGAAAAACATGACTCTGTTAGTTGAAAATGGTTACTGGACCTTTGGGCTTAAAGAGGGTTCATATAGAGCCTATACAACACCACGTGTTGAACTCTCACTGACAGAAAAGCTTGAGAAGGTGGCCATCTTTGTGGACTATGATAAGGGAAAGGTTTCTTTCTATGATGTGAATTCTAAATCTCATATCTATTCTTTCACTGGCTGCCACTTTACAGAGACACTGTATCCATACTTCTACCCTGGACTCTATATGGATGGAACAAAGTCCGCCCCTCTCATCATAACCCCTGTACCTACAACACACTGAGTTTGGCCCTTCTTTAAAAGGTCCAGTGTGTAAAAGCCCAGATACACCAAACCTGAAAGATGAAGGCCGTTGCTGTGTCGTGACCAAAAAATGTACGCATCATGAAATGTTTCTATTAAAGAGCTCAATGGAAAAGAGAAAATTAATCTTACTGAATGTAACAAGTAGATTTTGACAAATCTCGATCTCGACAGACGGGTTTTAGTGGCATCTAGTGGTGAGGACTGCAGATTGCAACTAATTGAAATTTCCCCCGATTACAAATTTTCAGTGTCCATCACTAGGAAGTATTTACTTGGAGCTGACTTATCCGCAGAAGACTTTCCCTCTTCAATGACAAAAAAAACTCTGTGATTTAAACCAGTTAAAAAACACGGTGGTCTCCGTAGACGAGGACCCGCTCCATATATAGATATAAACGGCTCATGCTAAGGTAACAAAACGACAATGACTCTTATTTTGGGGTGATTATACACCAAAGAAAACATACTGTTATTACATTTAATTTCTGCCAATACATCCCCTTTAATCCTACACACTGGACCTTTAATGTCAATACACTTTACAGATGTGCAAATGTTATATTGGTAATCTCAAACTAGCCTCTCTAATATTTACATGTTTTCTCTTTATGCATGGATATATAAAAGAAGCATGACGCTGCATGACAAGTGACTTCCTGTTTCCCTCTCTACACTGTACATTTCTGTAAATTTGATGATGTGAACTCATGATACTAATGTTGCACAGTTATATTGTCAGATCCTGTTGTATCACAATAGAGGATATAATGTTTCTCTGTTGAGACGTTCTGTTCTCTTACAATCTGCTGCTCCTGCAAAATCAGACATGTTTTGCCTTTCAAAGACCAGTGTCTAAATATTCTTCATTTTGTTGGTTTCCTGTGATTCACGGTAATTTTTGTGCTTCTGTGACAACTGGGGCTGAATAAACTGCACATCTAAACTTGATTAGACGAGACTCTTGTCATGTCATTTCTACCTAGAAGCTGGGTTAAAGGATAACTTTGGCTTTTTCAACCTGTACCTTATTTCCCTGTGTAAACTGATTTGTTACTGCCTTGTTAAGCAGACGTCTCTTTCAGAAACATCACCAGATGTGTGTGTGATTTGGAGCTGCTATCAGCTGATGAAAATGGGTGTTCAAGACAAATAGATGTCAAGGAATTTGAACATGAGACATTTAAGTCACCTTAATGCCGCAGGTAGAAATCAGTCTCAGTGAGTCCTGGCTCCTCACAGTTTTTAACAAATTAGGCTTGCAGTGGCACTCACAGAACAGAATGTCAGCTTTGTGAGATTCGTAAATCAATCAATAGTCGTCTGCCCACTGCATTCACTCCTGACTCCTGCCTATGTTCTCCTGCCCCCACACTGATTTGTGTGTGTGTGCGTGTGATAGAGTGGATTATCCTCGAGTGTGACGCGTGGGCCGATATTCTTAAGCACCACTGATGGAGCTCATCCATAACTGTGACTAAAACCTGGTGTGTTTCATTGTATTTGGATTTCATTAATGGGACACGAGCCTGATTTTCCTCAGCGACAAATATCTTGTGATATTTTTCTAGAGCAAGTTACTACTGGATCTGTGGATGCAGCATGAAATGAGTGGAAGAGGTACAGATGCAGACAACAACAGTGATATATAGAATGGAAAACATCCATATACAGTTAATGTAATATAATGTGTGAATTTAAAATGGCGTTAATACACTTGCACATTTTGTCAGAGAGTATATCATTTAAAACTAACACTAAAATGAGGAAAGAAAAAAACTCCCTATTAAGTTTGAGACATACCTTTTGTCTTTTAGTGATATTGCTATGGAAACAAATAAGAGACATAAGTATTAATAGTTAATAGTGTTTCAACACTACTGAATTCATAGCATTGGAATATTTTGTTTAGAAAATGATGTATCTGGATTTATTTGGTTTGAATTCACCTCTTTGGAATGAAAATATGAAATTTCTTGATTTGCAATTTCAGAGGCTAAATTTGATTTTTTTCCCCCAGTGTTCACAAATTCAGATCCAAAAACATGTTTAAGAATTAACT